TATATATATATATATATATATATATATATGTTGTGTGTGTGTGTGTGTGTGTGTGTGTGTGTGTGTGTGTGTATGCAAATATACATATATACATATATATACAAACATACACTTACATATACATATATCATCATCAAAGGGGCGCATAGCCGTATCCACCCTTCACTTCCAGCCACGGGGGTCCCTCATGGCGAGTCGCCAGGCAGGCCCTGGCCCCAGCTCTAGTTTTTCACGACAGGTCTGGTCGAGCTGCCCAAGCCACGACTTCCTAGGTCTTCCCATAGGCCTCCTCCACGCAGGATTGTCTGGTAATGAGAAGACCTGATGGACAAGGTCATACACAGGGAAATGAGCAAGGTGCCTGTATAGCCTGAGTAACAGGTCCCATGCCAGTCTCACGGTGAAGTCGTTGGTTGGGCATGTGGTCCTGCCAACTGTATCCCATGATCCGGCGTAGGGACTTGCCACAAAAGGCATCAAGACGTGACTCCAAGGCGCTAGAAAGTGTCCAGGTTTCCATAGAGCAAAACTGGAAGTATCAAGGCCTTAAATACACGTAACTTAGTACTTCTGCATAGGTACCGGCACCTCTTGCTGACTGAGTTCATAGCTCCTGCTGTCAGACCAATCCATCTACTGACTTCCTGGCCTGACAGCCCAGAGATATGAACTATACTACCAAGGTATGTAAAGCTCTCTGTGACTTCAATGTCCTCACCACAAGCACGTATTGACTGAACAGATTCTCCTAACAGGCCCCCAAAATCATGGATCTTGGTCTTAGTCCAGACCTGCAGGCCCAGGGGCTTCACCTCATTGCTAAATTACATCAAGAGCCGCTACCAGAGATTCCAGAGACTCACAGAATTGCAACATTGTCGGCAAAGTCACGGTCAGTGACCCTGATATCGCCCATTGTTGCTCCACACTGATTTTGGAAAGTAGCTCTGCCCATTATCCAATCCATGCAAGTGGACTGGATAATGGGCAGACGTTCTACAGTGACTCGAAGCGCTAGGATACGGTCTATTATGGACTTACCAGGAGCGAATTCAGATTCCTCTGGCCTTTGGTGCCTTAGTAGGTGGTTGTGGATCCACTTCAGGATGTGGGCAAAAATCTTGTCTGGTATACCGAGTAATGTTATGCCACGGTAGTTGATACAGTCCCAACAATTCCCTTTCCCCTTCCAAGGAAGGATGACCATGACCCTCAAGTCAGGGAGAATGGAACCGGACATCCAGATGGCAGCCAGGACAGCATGCAAGCCCTGTGCCACAGGCTCACCCCCAACCTTTGGCAGTTCAGCAGAGATATCACATATGTCTGCAGCTTTCCACTCTTTAGGTTAGAGATTGCCTTCCTCACCTCATTCGGGGTAGGAGGATCTTCACTGATGGATGGGTCAGGGATTTTGACATCCCCTGTATCTAGAATAACTGCTGGGGGGTCTACCTGATACAATTGTTCAAAATACTCAGCTCAATGTTCACGACCCCCAACATAATCTAAGATGACCTGTTCATCCACTGAGCGGACCACAGACATCCGTGAGGAGGAATTGGAGTTCATTTTACTCAGAGCTTGGTAGGCAGCACGAAGGTCATTTAAAAGGAAATGGCTCTCTATCTCCTCTACAAGTTTCCTGATGAACTGTTCCATTACCCTTCTCAGCAGAGTCCGAGCTCTGCCGTTCAGACAAGCCATATGACACATCTGTGGCCTCCGTCTCCAGCGAGATGAGATTTTGCCTTGTCCTTGGACGTACATCAATGGACTCCTTACATGCTTAAAGGAATCCCATAGGGATACTTGGTCTGTCAGGTTTTCAAGCACTGTTAACCGATCAGAGATTGCTGTGGTAAACCTACGAGCACACTCCTCTTCCCAAATCTGTCCAGATGAAACACGCTAGAATGGCCACTGGAGAGATGGAAGGATTTGAAGAGAACTCACAGGTATGCTACAACCAATCTATGGTCAGCGCCACTGAACTCGGCACTCCTGTAAACCATACAGTTCTGAAGGATCCTCCAGCGAGTGCTAACAAGGATGTAGTCAATCTCCTTGGCCAAAATACCTTCTTGCTTAACCAAGTCCAGCGATGCAAGCTGAAACACTGATACCAGGAGCCAGAAATCCTCATTCACCGAGACATAACAAAGTCCTGAAGGAGGAGGCTGTTCTTACTCCCGAGATCATTGGGACCAACAGACATCTCATAGCCAGCCTGATCACAACCGGATATCACAATGAAGTCGCCCAGTACAATGCGAATGTCTAGCCTGGAGCATTTATCTACCACAGATCTGAGTTGGGGAAAGAACTCTTTCACACAGTTTACATACATTGGTAGGAGCGTACACAGCAATAAGAGACACAAAGCCAAAAGTGTGCTTCAAACTAAATGCCATAATATGCTCAACCAGAGACACCTTTACTAAAGATGGTTAAAGTCGGCTGGAGATGGCTATAGCTACTTCCTGGAGATGATGACCAT